AAATGTGGTACATTTACACAATGGGGTACTACTCAGTGGGAAAAAAAAAACAAACAAACAAGGGAATTTGCAGGAAAATGGATGGAACTAGAAGAAACCATTCTGAGCGAGGTAACCCAATCATAAAAACACAAACATGGGATGTACCCAGTCATATGCAGATTTTAGACATAGAGTAAAGGATTACCAGCCTACAATCCACACTGCCAGAGAAGCTAGTAAACAAGGAGGACCCAAAGAGAGACAGGCAAAAATGGTCCCCCGGAGAAGGGGAAAAGGGTCAAGATCCCCTGAGCAAATTGGGAGCAGGGGAAGAGGGGGGAGGTAGCTAGGAGAATGATAAGGGAGAAGAGGAGGGATGCAAAGGACATGAGGGAGCAGAAAGGATGAGTCAGGTGAAGAATAGAAGATAACAAGAATGGAGATACCATAATAGAGGGAGATATTTTAGGTTTACAGAGAAATCAGGCACTAGGGAGATGTTCTTAGATGACACCAGCTAACAATCTAATCTAACAGAGGAGAGGCTACCTTAAATGTCCTCCCCAGATAATGAGATTGATGACTTATTTATATGCCACCTGATAGCCCCCATCCAGCAGCTGGTGGAAGTAGAAGCAGACACCCACAACTAATCACTGAACTGAACTGGAACCCAGATGCAGAAAAGGATGAGTGAAGAGCAAAGGGGTCTAGATCAGGCTGGTGAAACCCATAGAAACAGCTGACCTGAACATCAGGGAATTCTTGCTCCCCAGACTGATAGCTGGAATACCAGCATGGGACTGATCCAGACCCCAGAAACATGGGTTTCAGTGAGGAAACCTCGGAAATCTACAGGACTTCCTGTAGTAGTTCAGTACTTATCCCTAGCATAGGTGTGGACTTTGGGAGCCCATTCCACATAGAGGAATACTCCCTGAGCCATGACACACTGGGGTGGGTCTAGGCCCTATCCCAAAGGATACGATAGACTATGATGACACCCTATGGAAGGCCTCACCATCCAGGGGGAGCAGAAAGGATATGTGATAGGTAGGGTTTTACTTGGGAGGGGTGTTAGGGGAGGATGGGAGGGAGAAGGGAACAGGGATTGTCATGTAAAACAATCTTGTTTCCAATTCAAATAAAAAAATCTGAGAAAAAAAAAGATTTCACTTTAAGTCTCTCTGCTTTGTTGTATATAAGGAATGGTTCACAGTAAGATAAATTACGATTTCCAAGACCATCATTTTAGTGGCTCTGATTGTGTTACATGTTTTCCCCACTTATCTTCACTATTAACAGCACACAGTTGTTCAAAATAAAGTTTGACCAGATGTGGACCGCGCAGACAGGAATGAAACCCACTCAGAACAATCAAGGCAACACTGACACTCACAAAACAGCTCTTATTATTTAAATATGGAATTTACAAAAGCAGAGCTAACCCAGTTGGTCATTACGTACACAAGTGAGGGAATGTTAGTTTACATTTATATATATATTCATATGAAATGAAGTACAAAGATAAATTTTAAATAAATGTTTTCTGTGAAAAATATATAAAAGTAAGTGATTTAAAAAAAGTTCAACTGGAGTGCTTGTTCAGTGCTTAAAATATTTGGAAAAAATTACTCGTATATATATAAAACTGGTGGAAGTTATAAAAGGTGAGAGATAAGGAAACCTGTGTCTTCAGTGTAGTTTAATAAGTGGGGGGAGAGAGCCGAGGTAAAGTTTCCACATAGGCAGAGCTCACACAACATAAATAGATAATCAGAAGTGAATGAAATCCAGTTTACCCAAGGTCAATGCTACTCGAAGTTGAAAGAACTAAGAAATATCCAAGTGAATGTCACTCAAAATTGAATAGCACCAAGGAACTCCCAGAGAAGGTAAAGGAAGACAATTTTTGATAATGTGCTTATACTATTAGCATTTGTTCGTTTCATTTCCTCCTTTAGTCTTCAAGACATTGACCTTAGCAACGACTTTTAGTTCCTCCCTGTGATGCTGAATGCCCGGTATCTTATAATGACGTCACACAACTCCAGCGGTGATCTGCCTGCATTAACCAACTATAGGATGCTAACATCCATCCTCCTAGGCAAGTGCCGGGTTCTGAATCTTGCACACCAACCCCATCTTTCTTTCTTTATCTTCTGAATTCTGCAGGCATCCGGACACTCTCTCTCAGCCCAGTGCAGGATGCCTTTGATTGGCATCTTGAGCACTTTGTCTTCATGGCTCAGGTGGTGAAGGCCCAAGCCAGCTGCTAGTTGACGCAGGGGCAGCAGAAGCAGCAGATGGTCCTGCAAGGGTTCTTCTTCTTGTACTGCACTGCCTTGCGCACCTGTGCCTTGGCCTCACCCGTGTAGTCGAGGGTCTTCTGCACATTGAGCTCGATGACGTTCAGCGTGTCCGCCTGCTTCTCCACCAGGACAGCCATCTGCAAGAAGAGCTCGTGCACATCCCGGATGCGACCCTCCAGCCGCAGCAGCTCTCGGTGTCGGCTCTCGATCTCGTTGAGTGCAGCCCGTGCGCCCTTCACGTCGGCCAGCAGGTTCTCGGAGAATACGTCCCACTTACCCTGCTCGAACATGTCCTCGATCTGCTCACCCGACACGTCCTTGCCCATGATCTCCAGCTGCCGTTGGATGCGGATCTTGCAGTTGTCGCGCTGCTTCATCTCGGCTTGGTTGTACTCATACATGGCCTGCTGGAAGGCGCGCGTCAACGCGCTGTATTGTGCATGGGAGATGCGTGCCACCGCGGAGTGCGAGCCGTGCTGGACCTCTGCCTGATCGCTCAGCTCCTTCATGGAGCGCAGCTTCTGGTGGATGCCCTCCCCACGGGTCTTGATGGCTTTGGCGATGGAGTTGGTGTCGCGCTTGATGCTGCTGAGGCGCCGCATGGACGTGAGGAAGCGGACGTTCTGCCTTCCCAGGCGCTTCACGTCAATCATCAGCAACTGATTTTCATCCTGGATGTCCTGGATGACCCGGTACAATGACTCTAGGATGTGGTCGGTCTCGAACACGATATCCTCTTGGGGAGTGTCAAAGTCATCGTCCCCGTCTGGGAATTGCTGGTCATAGCTCCTGGATAACTCCAAAAGCTCTGCAAGCCGGTCCTTCATTTTGCCTACAAGAAGAGACAGAAGTTAGGATCCTCTAGTGACAGTCAGTACTTTGTTTTCAGAGGGACTGAAGCTCTGCTCAGTGCTCCAAATTTTCCTGGGTGCATCAAAGGGGCTAAATGTCCTGTTACATTTTACTTTTAAGAAATGTGATGACTTGCCAGGCAGTGGTGTAAAGGTGTTGAGGAGATGGTTCACAGGACTGAGTTTGAGCCCAGGCCCTAGACAAAAGCTGATGTGGCAGCGCACACCTGTCACACAGTGTATACACAGGGGCCTTCCAGGGTTTGGTGGCCTGTTTAACCAAATCAGGGACCTCTAACTTCAGTGAGATTGTGTCTCAAAAGATAAGGTAGAGAGAGACTGAGAACGACATCCACTATCAACCACTGGTCTCCACATGCTTGCATACACTCATGCACCACACCCTCTCACACAGGTGTGTGTACATGCGCACACACAATATCTCTCTCCCTCTCTCTCTCTCTCTCTCTCTCTCTCTCTCCCTCCCTCTCTCTCTCTCTCTGTCTCTCTCTCACACACACACACACACACACACACACACACACACACACACACGAATACACAGGCACACAAGCAAAATTTGGGTATCAGCCAGGTGCAGAGGTGTGCACCTGTGGTTCCAGCTACTAGGGAGGTTGGGGTAGGATGAACACTTGACTCTGTGAGTTCCAGTAGCACAGTCTGAGCAATACAGCCAGACCCCATTGGGAAAAAAAGGTTGAGATTTTTTGGCTCTTTTCCCCATTATAAATTTCTAGTGGTAAGCATTGTTGACATTGTTCCCAGTTAGAAACCCTTTATATAGAAAATTAGAATCATATAGTCTTACAGCAAAACATACACTCACTTATCTATCCATCATGCAACAGAAACTTTTGGCCCCTTTGCAAGGTTGGTACAAATCATTGCTAAGACAAAACAATGTTTTCTATGTGCACACATTTTCAGTGGAGTGAAAACATGAGTTGGGGCTAGTCTTCCCTTATACATGGTACTTTATGCCTAGAAAGAGCCTGTTCCTACTTCATAGACCATGGCAAAGCACAGCTCCCAAGAGCTGCCCAATCACTCAGAGAACTTGGTCTGAAAGACTTCTTTCAGGTTGATATAATTAACGTCATACAGCTGTGCTGGATTGGTGATAACGGAGAATGGTGAGCACTGACTGACCATGGCCTTCCAGCTGCCAAAATCATTATTTATGTAAGCTAAGCAGAAATCTTATTCTGTAATGGTAATTTTTAATATAACACGTTTTCCTGCTTAAAATGTCATTTCTTTCTTTTGTCAAGTAAAGTCAATACCAGCCTTTCTCAATGACAGTGAATGTCATTCTCCTATCAGAATAATTGACTGGTCAGTAAAAAGACCTAACCTGGGGAGAGACTTGAGAAATGATGAGGTAGATAATGGGCTAAGATGTTTATAGTTTGATTATTATTAATTAATTTTAATTGACATATAAAACTGTTCACATTAATGGGGTACTATATAATGTTTCAATACATGTACATACTGCATTAAGTTCAAATCAAGTTAGATACATATTTATCTTCTTAAATATTTACTTATTGCAGACCAAGATACCAGCTCCCAGGATGGACGGAGAGTAGCAAAAAGAATGCCTTCAGAGTAGTTGGGACTTAGAAAATATTCTTCTCTATCTGATGGCTAGACTTTTCTATCTGAGGGTAAATAAGGAAACACACATGCTTTTTTATGGTAACTTAAGGGAAAAAAAGGGGGAAAGGTACATACATCCTTGATAGTGACCTTCTCTTTTACTTCAACTTAGAAAATCCCTTTCTGAAAATCTCTCCATCTCCACACAGCTACATCTCTTTACATACAGCGACATAACACTTCTTTCTCCATCTCTCATACTTTTACTTCTACAGCAAAGTCCCTAGACAGATATGTATACATTTTCACGGTCACACAGCACTTCTTGAGTAAACAATAATAAAGAGAGCCATGCTGATCACAGTTTCTCTCAGGTTAGGGATGCCACGATGACTGGCCAGTGAGTAATGCTTAGCCATGCACATAGCTCTGCGTATGTGATACTGAAACTCAGGACTTAAACAATAAGCAGTTAGGTGGCTGAACCTTGAGGTTAGGAGTATGTGAGGAAAGTCCATTACTCTACCAAAGTTGCTTCATGCCTGATCTTGAATCAGCAATAAACACCTGGAAATTTGTCCTCGTGTATTCAGCTCCAGGGGCAACCAGTTTGCTTTGAATTTGTTCTGAAATCTAAAATTAGCTGTCTTTGTGACTAAGAATACTATTACTTTCCTATGTCAGTCTGAATGATGAAAAATACCCAAGTATGATTTTTATTCATCAGATCTATATAGTACTCATTAGGCAGAAATCGTCTTCCTGATCATCCACAGCTATATGTATTCCCAGTAGATGGAATATTTTCACAATATAAACAAGGAAATATAAAATATACCAGCGAGGCTTTTTTTTTGCTTTTTCTCCTTAAATTCTTTATTAGTTTTAAGTGTGTGTGTGTGTGTGTGTGTCTGTGTGTGTGTGTGTGTGTGTGTAGTATGTGCACTCGAGTACAAGTGTCTGAGGAATCCATAGGTGTCAGATACACTGGAGCTAGAGTTAGAGGCAGTTGTGAGCCACCCAGTGTGGGGTTGGGCATCAAAACCCAGTCCTCCGCAGGAGTTGTACATGGTCTTAATTACTGAGCCAGTCCTCCAGCATTTATTTCTCTGCCTTTTTCTCCCATCAAATTATCAGGAAACATTTAAAAGTGATACAGGATTCTGAGACGTCTAAAGAAGATGCTGGAAAGAGGAAACACTGACAGAACACGGGAGGACAGCTCAGCAATACATACTGGAAGCTTTTTACATATGTATTTAACCTCAAGACACATGGGAGGATGTGCGGAGCCTGGGAGGTGGTCATATTTTCATCACCACGTTATCTTTGCAGATATTCAGAAATAACTTCAGTGTATAAAAGGCTGAGCTATTTACTGGCTCCTTCATAAGTCACAGAGTTTAGAAGGCTATCTAATGAGATGAAAAGCACACATGTTCTCTCAGGTGGAAAAGGTAGCTATGGAGAAAAGAATTGCAGCAGTCTCACACGACTGTCTGAACTACTCTTGAGCAAGATGCATCAAAATGTCAATAGTGATTTTCCTTGAGTCGTGGGATCTGTGTTCATCATTTTTATTTCCTTTTGCTATTCTAGACTTTCCATAATTTTCTGAGATCATATAGATTTATAATTAATTCTATAATCTATGCATAAGGATTAGATTGATGTTCTGTATTTCCAGAGGAAGTACACTAGCTAACTAGCATTGAATGGGAGTCACATCCATCTGCTTAAGTTAGTGTTCATTGCATTCTACTCTCCAAGAAGTGGGTGAACAAAACAGATACATGCTGATGGGCACAGTAAGAAGAGAGCATAGATGTTTTCCTTGAATCTTGGCCAAGCCTTGCACAGCATTACGATGGAAGGTAATTGTTGGCAAATGGAAAGAATGACACATACCAAGTTTCTAGAACTATGTTCATAGATGCATTCTATTCTCTTTACTGTTCCCCTAAAACTATAAAGAACTACAGGAGGAGACCACCTCATTCTCAGTACGAAAAGCAGAATCCGAAGCACCTAGAAGATGGTATCAGAAAATATTCCAAGAGTGAATCTAACCACCTGACATCATAGGTCCCCAATCAGTAAAGATCCAAAGTCATTTGAAGGTACAAGTCTCTAACCTGTAAGGAAACAGGAATGTTCACACCCTTTGGCAGGTGTTAAATAGTCGCCTTCCTGCCCACCCTTCCTGCCCAGCACAGACCAAGATGGGTAAAGTTCTACCCACTTAGAAGTTCTCCAAGATGCCAGGAAGCAAGCATCAGGAAATCTACAATGGGTGTGTGTATATGTGTCAACCAAGAGGTTTCCATTCTGAGAATCTCTTTAAAACATTAGAAATATGCATCTTTGCTGAAGGCACATCAAAACATGGGAGAGGGCACAAAAGAGCATCAAAATGAGCTTTATAGTCAGTAGGTTGATATATACCTTGAAGTCATAAAAGGGAAAACTATAGTAACTGAACAAGAAAACAAATCAGACAATTCAACTGACCCAGAGTTTCACAGTGGCAAACAACAGTATAATAAATATTGGCAAACTTGTTCATAAAGTTGAAAAAGTAACTTCTATTTTAATTCACACTCAAGTGGAAAGTACCAAAGATGGTTTGTAACTATCAGAAATATGCTTATTTCTTCTACTTTCCTTTTATGAACACATGTAATGTGGTCTGAGAGATCTCATTGAAATATGGAAGGAAGGGTAGGAAGGAGGGAAGGAAGGCAGATTGCTTAACCCTTCTTCTGTTAAGCAATAAAGTTTCACATGAAAGCACACAGAGAACTAAAGAGATGATGGTGCCTAAGTGGATTTCCACCTGAAGCAGACAATGAAGTCACCTGGAGAGTTTCTAGTGCTGCAGCTGCCTGAACTGGGGCTTGTGATTTTAGTATACGATTAAGTTTGTAGCCCATTCCACAGATTCTTACTGTGGAAGCTTAGTGATCATGAGAGTTGAGCAGTTCTGGAGTGTCTTAATGGTCTCCAGGTTGAAGATAGACTGAGAGGATCAAGAAAAAGATAGCTCTTGGCCTCTCCCCCTACCAGAAAGAGGGTGTCTTTCATAAGCACTGCCTCTGGCTTCTGAGGATGAAGAAGGTCTCCATATGAAATGAAGATCAACTAAGAACTCACCTTCAGTCTAGTAAGCCATGAAAACAATCCAGGAAGCCCTAACAGTGGGGTAAGCAAGAAAAACAGGGGTTTACTAGAATCTCTTCACTCTCACATGAACAGATAAGGCAGACACTAACAAAAGGGCATTGAAAATGGAGATTGGGCTTCACTCTTTTTTTTTTTTTTTTTTTTTTTTTTTTTTTTTTTTTGGTTTTTCTGAGAC